TCAACAACTTGCTCCCAACAACTACCGGCATAGGTGTGACATGGACGTTAAACATGATTTTTGTTTTGTCCATGTTCATCTTAAGACCTATCCGTTGGGAGACACTATTGAGGCCATTGAGCATAGTGCATAGGTCCTCCAGCGATTCTCCCATAAGGACTATATCGTGGGCAAATCGAAGTTGAGTGATGTACTCGCCATTGAAGTTAATACCGTATGCTTTCCAGTCCAGTAGCTTGAAAACGTCTTCCAATGCAGCGGTGATGAGTTTTGGGGATATAACGTCACCCTGTCTTACACCTCTCTGCAGTTGGATAAGTTTCATACTCTGATTCTGTACTCGGATAGCCATCGTAGCTTAACTGTACAAACACTTTAGCACTTCAATAGAAGGGTATTTATGTGGTCCATGGTACAAAAGCCTTTTTGGAAACCGAATTGTTCAGGAGGCTGGAAGTCGACAAGTCTGTCGAAGTCGACGACTCGTAATGACTCTCTTAAACAGCACGTAGACGCGGCTCAGAAGGGAAATCGGTTTGTAGTTCTTCAAGAGAGCGTTGTCGCCTTTCTTGTAGAGCAAGACCACCGCACTTCTGCTCCACGTGTACAGCTGCCCATGAACCTCTCAATCTCACTCAAAATCTCAGGTTTCTCGGATACGATGCTGCCACACACGGTCTTCAGCTTTGACAGTTGGCTCTTTCTGGCAGACAGATCTCTAGCAAAGTCTTTGGAGCCTTGGTTCCGCTCGATCGTTTCTTCAATACAAGCTCTATTGAAGTTGCGAAGGTTCCGCCGCATGCATTTGGAGATCTGTCTGTTCAGTTGTCTGTATGCTGTCAAATCTGTTGAAGAATGTAGCTTCATCTCCCGTCTAACAGCCATGAGATTAAGAAAGTGATCGGATAGTTTTTGTGTTCTTCTGCGGCGGGTCTAGCAGAACTTAGCTCCGACCGCATGGACAGTTTCAATAAACTTGTCATTCATATCGTCCACTTCATTGCAGTCTTCTAGGCACTGAAAACGGTTTTGTATCACGAACCGAAAGGTTTCGGGACTTTGGAACAGAGCACGATGGGGACGGAGCGTCGATTTCATTAGACGAGTCCTCTCCAACTTAACGTTTACGTTCAGTGTGCCTCTAACCATTCGGTGATCGCTACCAGTTTTCACCCTCGCAATCACGGAAACTTCACTGAACAGTTGTCTTCTAGTCGTCATAATGAAGTCAATCTCATTTTTTGTCGAACCGTTGGTGCTCGACCAGGTCCACTTCTTGTGGGGCCGCTTCTGGAAGAAAGAGTTCATCATAAAGAGTCCCTCTTTATCCATGAAGTCGGACAGCTGCTGGCCCCTTGGGTTCCGTTGTCCTATTCCGAAATTTCCTACTTTCAGCTCACCGTTCTCTCTTGTGCCTAGTTTTGCATTGAAGTCTCCTATTAAAACCGTATAGTGGATTTTGAAGTAATGCATGGCTCTAGAGATATCTTCATACTTTTACTCCACCTCCACATCAGGTTGTGCCGAGGTTGGCGCGTAAACCTGTATGACCTTCAGCGAATACCGTTTGGTGATTCTGAGTATAAGATACACGACCCTCGTCGACACACTCACAATCTTTACAACGTTGTTAACGAGAGAATTGTGGACGATAAATCCAACACCTCCTTGGGACAGATGGTCGCCCTCCCGGTGATAGAGCAAGTTGCCGGATTCGAGACTTAACATAGTAAGGTCTGACGAACCAAAGCATTAATATAGAAGGTCTCTATGATGCATAAGCATTATGATAGCAGAGTTATGACTTGAAGTTCCATATGAATAAGACATACAGTAGTATGGTCTATGAAATAAAGCACATATGTGGAAGGTCTCAAACGTCTTTCTTAAAAACCAATATTACTATAACAAAAATATTAATTAAATCACAAATAACATTGAATCACTAAAAGTTACGACAGTTTACATTTTTAGGGTTCCGTAGTTACACAACAAGAAACCCTTATAGTTTTGTCATGTCCGTCCGTCCGTCCGACCGTCCGCGGTTTTCCTCAGAAATCCTAGGTGCTACCAATCTGTAACTTGCGCAGATATTAATCACGCCTAGAAAACTGTGAAATAAAATTTTAAAAAACATTTTTATTTTGGGTACTGCCTATACAAGTAAATGGAGAATGATTTTTTTTATCCGTCTATTACATCATGTGGTTTATCTTTGGATAGGTCTTTCAAAAACAGTGGGGTTGTGGGACATCTTTTCAATTCAGGGGTCTGTTTGCGAAATATTTAGCTTTAAAGTGGTATTTTTCATTAAATTCATGTATCCGCCCCCCCCCCCTCTACCAATTAACCACTATTTTCGGAAATGTGAAAATTATACACAATAGTTGTATAAAAAAAAATTAAAAGGAAAACTATCACAGCTAAATAGAATTAATAAGTAAACGAGTAATAGTCGACCAACCGTTGAACAACCGTCGACCGTTATTTCACTTTATTTTATTATTTCTTTAAATTTACTTTTTCTTTTCTTTAACAGCCCAAAGTAGATGGGAGAGGCCTATCCTCTCCCATTGTACGGAGTATTTGCCTTAAGTCAGAAGTTTGGTTGACTTTCGTATTACAGGGCATATCGCACTTTTGAGACTGCTGCTAGTCGCAGGACTAAGTATTGGAAGTCTGATGTAACCGAGATAGTTATCGGAAGTCACAAGGTTTACTTGAAGTTTCCCACAGTCACCACTCACGACTCCAACATGTCGAAAAATGGTCATGGATTCTCGCACGACGTCACCACATGGCCAACGGCAAACAGTCCTACTGGTTATAGACTTTTGTTTTAGTAGCGGTAATTAAAGGAATAAGACTTTTAAGGACATGTACATTCACATCTCGCTGCGTTGTTGTTACGTTAACGCAGAGCCGATACTATCGCACTGGTTACATGGGGGTTCGTCATTCGGAAATACCATATTTTGTCAGTTGTTAGCATTAAGAGTAAAAGTGCATACCTCCTAAGCCCATAAAAGGAAAATTATACCTTATTTTATGCAGTTATGAGTTCGCCGTGCTTTTCCAGAATGTGTTGCCGGAGATTACTACATGCCTTCAAAATATTTTTATGTCCTTACCGTGTTTTCCTTTATCGCCGAGCACGTGATAAATCACCACTAAAAATTGCAATAAATAATTAATTTGAGTCGATTACTCGCATACAACGGTTGTAAGCGGTTATCTCCCGAGCCCACGGCTTGTAAATTTAAATATGATATATTATTAATAGCTACGAGATATAAAACGCCTTCTCAATTTTCACACTAAATCTTCGTCTTAATCGGTAACATACACGTGTTCCGTGATGAATGGTATTACAATGGGATTTAATTAGCGTTCGTAGGCACATTCATTAATCGCACGTCAGGTGTCTTCGTCTCAGGTATTGACTGAGATTTAAGGAAGCGCTTTTAATAAGCGGATTTATGTTACGAAAATATGAATAGTAGAAACATAATCAGTCGGAGAGATCAATAAGTTCTCTTTGAGGAAAATCTGGAGTATTGGTTGAAGGTGAATAATAGAAGCTTAACTAGCCTTTAATGAAATAGTAACATCAACACTACGATTTTTGACGTGTTGTGCAGGCGTTTTACATACATAAATTGTACGTGGATACATATCTATATCCATATATTTTTCTGCGTGAGGGATTAATATCCGCGACGTCAGAACCTCACAACCTTAGCAGAAATCACTCCGCTACTGTGTCATTATTTTGACAATGTTAGACTACTACTAAATCGGAAATTATAAACTGCACGTGGTATTATACAAACGCGCACACTAGTGAGACACAGAAATCCAGTTTACATAGCTGGATTAATGTAAAGACAACTGCCGAGGTGCCCCAAGTCGCTTAAGGTAAACATATCTTTGTGCTTGATTTCGAAAGTTATGAAAAGGGGATAGACCGCGAAAGGCCTAGGAGCCTTTACATGAAATTGTCAGATTCTGAGTAAATAAACAATTTGATGGCTTATTACAGGAGACAAGGCACGTATAAGATTCCCGCAAGGAATAATTATTTATAGGGTTTTCAAGTAATTATTAGTTTAATTTTGTTGGTTGAATGTGTGTAAAATGCCTTCATGATACAGGGAAATTTCTGAGACCTAGTTTTTTTTTACATTTTAAATGATGCGGGCGCAAACAGATAGAGAGAAAAAAGTAAATTTAGAATTAAGAAGTAATTCTTGAAATTGTTGGATTGACTGAAAAACAGGAGAAGATTTTCAATTTATCTGTATATAATGTATCTTTTTTGTGCATAATATGGTCGAGCATAACTTCTTTCTTTATGAATAAATTTTAATCATACTTATTTTATTAAATAGGTTATATTTGCAGATAGGTAAATTTTAAGCTATTAAGCCATTTCCATATTAATTTCAAAACCCCTTACAATTCAATACTAGGGAGTGAACTTTAAATATACTGTTGACTCGATAATTCGAAGTTAGGGGAACCATCAAAAAACTTCGAATTATCGAGAGTATTCGAATTATCAGATAGGAGTAAAAAAATTGATGTCACACATGTGAGAATAATTATAATTATCGTTGTTTTCTTAACAAAATTAAATACATTTTACTTATATTTACACAAATCACGTAATGTACATACACATATTATAAATAAAAAAATAAATATATAAATTATGTTTAATGGGCGAAAAAATCTGTGATACATTTTTGCTGTAAAGAAATCAGACGAGCTCGTTCAATAGTTTTTCAACAACAAATAGGGCTTGAAATACTTCCGCTTTTACATAATTTTGGAGTGAAAAGTCTCGTAGATTCTTCAATGAAACACTCGCTTCCGTCAGCGTTATCGGCGGCAACTGCTTTGATTTGTCTTCTTTGTCACCTTCATTTCCTCCGTCTAGTGCAAAAATTTCCGCATCAGTCAAGGTTCCCCAAACTGCAACGTCTTCATCAACTCACACAAAGTGTGCAAAAGTCACATTAGCTTGAGCTGGAATAGATTCCCAAGAAGTTGGTTCTACTCCATCCGTGTCTCGTTGAACCTGCACTTCTTCCAAAGATGTGGAACAAACACTATTACTTACACTTGAACTTCCATATGTAACTGAGTGTAGATATGCGCACTCAATCACTTTTGTTAGTAGAATATAATACAGCTCAGACAGGTTTGATATCTTGAATATGAGTTGTTAAGACTGATAGGGTATGCGTCGTTACCAGTAAAAAAGGTCTCCAGTGTTCGCCACTGACTTTACAAAATACAGCAGTTATTTTACGCTGATATTCTGCGCAAACATAGTTCTTTCTTAATCGAGTCGACCCATCCGTGTTGCAACGTAAATTTACTGATTGTCCAATGTATCTTTGCGTCTATGTCCTCAAATAAACTCAATAACGCTGAAGATGTGATGTGAATTATATCTATATTTTGATGATTTAAAGTGATCGGTTGAGAATATTCTCTATAAGAAAAGATTTATTATGAATAAAATCAACGAAGATCCATGAAAAATGCAAAATATTTTATTAACAGAAATAATTATACAAAAGGTAATATGTGCTGGTTTTCTCACTAGACAAGGCTGTATCGGGGAAACTTGAGACCAACGTTCATTATACGTTGTTTTATGGGTACACCTTATCAGACAGATTGTACTAGTATTAGCAGGTTCTGTTATTGCATATTGCTTAAAATTTTTAAACATAAAATAAAAAAACTTACAATAACCAAGCAAAGTTTTATATAACTGGAGTGTATTAAATATATGCATATAAAAAAGAAAATAAAAATTATAACAATAACAATATTTACATAATAATTTCACAAAGACCTTCTATTAGCAAAAGCCAGTTTAAAACAAATCTTCTGTTTCTTTAATTCTGTAATTTCGCAGTTATGTAGTTTTTGTTTCTAAAATTACAATGTTTTACGACCCTATTATAAATATGTCTTTTGTTAAAATCAACAAAACGTCACCATAGTCAAAAATTATTTCAGTAATAGGCTGGACTCATCAGTTTCAGAAGGGTTGACTGTAAGAATACATATCGTCATCGTGTAAAGATAGCTTACTTATCGTGATGTACCTCCGTAAGGAAGCAGGAAATGGAATCGTAAAGTTGAAATTTGAAAATGATATAGGTTTAACAATGGACTCACTTTAATTAATCTAAACATCGTTCCCGATTTATGTTTCTGGTATAATATCAGAATGAATAATATATCAATTAGATATATAAGAACGCATCTAACCAAAAGTTTTAATGGAAATGTTATCTGATTTGAATGTCACCATACCTCCAACGCAAGCAGTGAAACCGTCACCGCAACATAATGAGATGATCGCTTGAAGCGTTAATTCATGCCTGAAAGCCAACTGAATGTAAATAGAGTGACAGAACCTGCTCCTCTGATTCGATAGCAATCGGTTACCTTGCATTTGGATAGGCAATGACTGCGGCCATTTTGTTGTTCGCACGTTCACGACTCATAGATCAATTGGTTCACGTATTCAATCAAATAGCTTTATATAATTCATTTAAAAAAAAATTGTAAGTGATATAGACAAGGGAATAGTATAGCTATTTCAAATAAAACGACTTCTTTATTTTTAACATTATTATTTCAATAATATTATTAATTTGTTACTTTAATAAAGTGATTATAACGTTCAGTTTTCATTAAAATATGATGCAACTTTAATTCGAGTTTTGTCTTCAATTTATTCAAAACTTTTTCCGAAACTCAATTTTATAATTTATTTTTCGTTATTAGTCCGTAAAATTTAAATTTTGAACATGAGTTATACTCAATTTTTTTTTATAGGATAGGGTGACAAACGAGCACACAGTTCACCTGATGGTAAGTGGTTGCTGTGGCCCATAGACATATACATTTATCCTCGTTTGAGGAAAACTGCAGATGCGTTGTCACCTGTGAGTACTAAGATGGAATGCCTCCTTTCCAGTAAAAAGGGTCTCCGGTTCTCTACACTCACCATACGAAACACAGCAACGTTATGCTGCTATTTTACGCTGGTATTCTGTGAGAGCGTGGTCCTTCCCCGGTCGAGCCGACCCATTCGTGCTACAACTAAACTACTAATATAGCTGCAGCATGGCTCTACCACGTACAAATTGTGGTGACTGTTTGCAATAATACCTTGTCAGGCGAAGTACCACATATCTCGCACGAGATGGCTCTGCTCTTGTGCTAGTTTGGATATTTTAAGTCTGATATAAGCGAGATGATAATATTGCGATAAATCCGAAGCCATAAGATCTTACTGACTTTTCTCATAGTTACTCTTTATAATATCAGTTCTGCCGGATCGGCGATCGGTTCTCTTTTACGACTACCGCACAAGTAAATAATTCAGTATTTCATTTGCGTAGTTATTTTAGTATTTCTTAGTGTATGTGTAGTGTAGTGTGGGTTCACAGTGATCACCACGCTTAGTAGGCGATTTGATATCTTTGTGACGGACGTCACGCCCCCTTGATGCTTTTTCCCGTTGCCGGTCTACGAAGTTCCGGTATGAGTGCGAGATGGTTATACTGCTTCTGGTCTTACCACATGCACGAGATGAGAGAGGGGTTTAATAATTTTTTTTAACTTAACATAAGTAAACATAATACGGCAAATGATGTATGCTCGATTTGCAACCTTTATGTATGGTATAGCTAGTAATAGTATTAGATTTAAGAGACTAATAATGTAGGGTAAATATGAAATGCACTACATGTCTTTTTTAGTGAGTATTAAGTTTATGTACATTTTTTCTTAGTGATTGTTTGTGCCGAAATAAACAGAAAAAAAATCTTAACAGGGAATCATTATTTAAATACTAAAGCAACTGCAGTGAAATTAATTAAATTTCATACAAATGATCATAATATACTTAGAAAGTATTCAACAATTATCTTTTGTCAAAGAGGTTACTGTCATTACAATGGCGTTCAATATTCGATTCTGCAATCCGTTGAATATACGAGTAGATAGTACATGCAGAAATGGTCAAGCAAATTTTTTGTCGAATACAATGTGTGCATGTTAATTAGAAGAGTGAATATTTTTTTTTTACTAAAATAGCGAATTTTAGCAAACATCACCACTTACCGTTAAGTTGGATCCAAATCTATTTAATAATTTATGAAAGAAAGTGTGTCGATGCAGGCAGTATTCATTTTAACATTAAAGCTAAAACGAGTTGCAGTCCACTTATTATGAAATGTGAAGTGGCTATTACATCTTATGGACACCTCCACCTAAGCATTGTGAAATTGTAACATGGCATTTAACAAGTCAAATGGATTACCACGTTTGTAAAACAGATTAAAAAGTATATACCTTTTTCTTCCTCTTTTTGTCATACTCTTACATTGTCATCTGATTCCGACCTACGTTCAAAATTTCAAGTATCTAGCTCATCGGGAAGTTAGTTTTATTTAAAATCAATTACTAAACAAGCGAGTTTATAAGACTACTATTTTATTAAGTTTCTAAGATTACTAAACAAGCGTGTTAAAAAGCTTCTGGAGTTTGTTTCTGGTTCTTTTTTTTTTTTTTTTTTTTTTTATAGGATCGGGTGAGAAACGAGCACACAGTCCACCTGATGGTAAGTGGTTACTGTGACCCATAGACATCTACATCTATCCTCAATAAAGACTCAAGATGCAGATGCGTTGTCACCCGTGAGGACTAAGATGGAATGCCTCTATGCCAGTAAAAAGGGTCTCCGGTTCTCTACACTCACCATACGAAACACAGCAGCGTTAAGCTGCTATTTTACGCTGGTTTTCTGTGAGAGCGTGGTCCTTCCCCGGTCGAGCCGACCCATTCGTGCTACAACCATAATATAGCTGCAGCATGGCTCTACCACGTGTAGAGCCATGCTGCAGCTACACTGATAGATTATAATATTCATAAGAGATTTAAACAAATCTAAATTTAACAAAAAGTTTTAACTTGCTTGGCAGCCGAGATTATACTGAAATAGGTTAAAAGTTTTTAATTATAAGAAAACTCTAAACCTATTTTAAATAGTATACTTTAAAATTTTCAACAGCTTCTTGACTCCGCTGGCGGACATAAGCCTTTTCAATGAATACACCGGATACCAAGTACAATTTGAAATAATTTCCGGACCGACACCACTTCGGAACCTTGAAGGAGTGAGCCTTGTCCTTCTAGAAAAGGTTGCAATTTTTTTAGTATTGTGGATGTTCATTGGCGTCGGTTGTCACTTAACATCAGGATATCGCATGCTCGTTTGTCTCTTCTGATATAATAAAAAATCACACTAAGCAGGCGGGTTGATATTCATATAGCCGATACTTTGCTACTGGCGAATAGTGACATATAAGTAGCGTAAGAAATCAGCATTTATGGATATATTTTCCTGCATCATTCAACCGTAAATCAGCATTCTGCATGGCGAGCGCTGGCCTAGCTCTGGCTCTATATAAATCTCCAGCACTTCCCCAATTTCGCGGCGCCTCTCGCCAATGAGTAATTTTGAGGGCGCAATATATAATTTTTGTTTTCGTCAATCCATTGGTATCTTGTCGTTTCTCACCTAGTCGTCTCAAATACGCTCTCTTGACAATGATTCTCGCATAATCTCTAGGTAAAAAGAAATTATTAGACATAATAAGCTAAAATAAAAGAAACTAATAGACAATTTTTTTAATTGCCGTAAACTTATCTGTTTCTTCTAATTGCTGACGTGTTACTCATGTGATTTTTATTTGACGGGTAAAATGTTAATCCGATGACTTTACTATTCATAACTTCCTCGCTCATGCTCTTAGCGAAATTAATTTTTTAATGCGACACAGGTACGTTTCAAAGATATGGTGTGATGTTTACTTAAGATTTTGTGAGAAATAAAAAAATGCGATATTACACAAAAAAGAGTAAAAATGTGTATTAAACCAGTAGAGTCGAATGTTTAAAAACCTTAATTATAAAAATAAAATAACCTTTTCTTGTTCTTGATAGGGAGTTTCCTAATCTAATTAACTTTTCATAATCTATACTTAAAAACGAAGCACTTACATTTAACTTACAATTACAATTTCATCACTCTTTTTCATCATTGTCCTCAGTATATACACTCTTCTTCCTTTCTTTTTCTTTATTTATTTTTTAGGATGAGGATGA